AGGGGTGACCACCAGGGTCTGGGGGAACGTTTGTTCACCAGAGCGCCCCAAGGGATGACGAGATCGAACAGTCACAAACTCCACCACGACCATTTCAGGCTGGACATAAGGAAGAACTTCTTTACTGTCCGAGCCCCCAAGGTCTGGAACAGCCTGCCACCGGAGGTGGTTCAAGCGCCTTCATTGAACACCTTCGAGATGAAACTGGATGCTCATCTTGCTGGGATCCTATGACCCCAGCTGACTTCCTGCCCTTTGGGCGGGGGGCTGGACTCGATGATCTTCCGAGGTCCCTTCCAGCCCTGATGTCTATGAAATCTATGCAATCTGCCCAAGGAACGGCAGGTCTTACGTTCTCACGAAAACCCGGGCGACTTTATATCCCCCGGGGGTCACCTGCAAGAGCAGAGCTGTTAGCAGCAGCTCTTCAGCCGCCTGTGGCAGCTTCTTACCGTGACGCCTGGCGCGGGTCGTTGTGGGGCCAGGACAGGTGAAGGGTCCAGTGTGGTCTGAGCCCCTGGCTGGATCCTGCTGCAGGCTGATTGCTGGTGTTTAACCAACGGCTACAGAAACCAGATAGAGAGCCAGACAAATGAACAGGCAGATAGATAGATAGATAGACAGAGCACAAGTTTCATGGGCTTATCCCTATTCTCCCTGCACTCCCCCTCTCTCTCCCCTTCCCTTGTCTTTCACACTCAAATTTCTCCTTATATTCTGCTTTCTGGACATCCTTTCACAGCGTCTGAGGACAAGAGCTTCAGCCCACAAAAGCTTGTGCTATATCTATCTATCTACCTACTGAACCCCTAACATACAAGCCAGTGGGACTATCCAAGAGGAAATCATGTCACAAATTGGCAAAGAGGTAAGCACTTAACTGCTTAAACAAGGTACAACTACTGAAAAAAAAAAAAGCTGGCTTACACAGCAAGCTATAATTATTCTTTCTCCTCATGTTAACATATAAGCATGAAAGCTTAAAGTCCACCGCAGGTATAGACAGATGTCTAAATGCCTTTTGAAAGCAAATGTCTCAGGACAAAGGTTGATATTAAGTGGGATACATTTCGAACAAATCCTGAGATACCTGAAAAAGAGTTCAACAACGACTTATCTCCACAGTTATCCAGAAAAAGAGCTGGATCGATGTAGGTTACGCACTGAAAACAAAGCTCAGACATCTGCCAGGGTAGGGCTGCCGCCGGCCAGTTGAAGCGGGGGCGGTGGTCAAGCCCCCGAACCTCACGTGGAGAGTAATGTTAGATGCGACACGGCAGAGAGCAGTGGTTCACACGCTCTTTGGACCAGCAGACTCCAGTCACCCCCCCAAGACGGAGGAGGACAGGCTGGACAGGGCCCAGCGCAGCGTGACAGACGCCGGGGGTCCGGGCCGAGGGGAGAGGCTGGGGGAGCTCGGGGGACTGAGGCCGGAGAAGGGCAGATGGGGGGAAGGCTTTGATCCCAGCAGCAGAGAGGACCGAGACGGGCTCTTCTCTGTGGGCTCAGGGACAGGACTAGGCGCAGCGGCCTGCAGCTGCAGCGGGGGAGACTGAGGCTGGAGGGAGGAGGGGGTGAGCACTGGGACAGGCCTAGGGAGGTGGGACCGTCTCCGTCCCCAGAGCTGGACGGACCCGTGGCTGGTTTAGTCAGGGCTGGTCCTGCCCTGAGCGGGGGCCGGAGTCCCTGCCAGCCCGACTGTGTAATGCCCTTCGGACGGGCGGCAGAGCCGGGGGGACACGGGGCCCCACGCTCACTGCTGTCCCCCCCACAGCAGACGCCCTGACCGAGGACGACGTGTACTGCCGGTGCCTGTCCAAGACGCTGTGCTACACCTCCACGCCCGTCACCGTCGGCTTCTACGCACCCTGCGGCCAGCGCCTGCACTCCATGCTGGACAAGATCACAGGTGGGCCGGAGGGACCGGGGCCCGGGGCGCTGGGTGCAGCCCCTCTCCCCAGCTGCTGCCCTGCCTCAGCAGCGCGGGCACGGGCACGGGCACGGGCACGCACCCCTCTGCGCGCACGGCCCAGCGGGGCCGGGAGGCCGGCAGCCGCTCCCTCCCTGTCTTCACCCCGGTAGCTGAGCGCCAGGGTCACTCGGCCCCGAGTCCTACCCCTGCCCCGAGGGGTGCGGGCGTGCCTCTCTGCTGCCCAGCACAGCTCAGCCCACCGTGCCCGGGTCGGGCATTACCCAGCCCCCAACATCCCCTTTCTGGGGCTGCAATTACTAGTGCTGGGGAAGAAGCAGGCAGTGCAGGGGGACTTTCAGGAAATGCAAACAAAACTGAACGCATCACGATGCCCCTTTGCAAACCCTCGGTGCCCCGAACGCTGCACCAAGGTCTGGTCCCCGCACCTCTGACAGGAGAAGGAAAAACTCGAGAAGAAAAACAGAGAGGGGCAGCGAGGAGGATGAGCGCTGGGGGGCTTCCCTAGGAGGAGAGAGCAGCGAGGCCAGGCCGGGTCAGCGTAGAGAAGAGACGCTTGAAGGGGGACAGGGAAAGGGTTTACGAAATACTAAATGGGGAAGAGAAAGTCACAGGGACTTATTCTGGACTCTCTCTCACCGGACAAGAACGAAGGGCACAAAATGAAACTAATAGGTCGTCAGTTTAAAACCAAGAAGAGGAAGTTTTTTCCTCGAGCACAGGAGAAACGCAGGGAGCGCGTGGGCACGAGATGTGGGGGAAGCTGAGTGCTACCACATCCACCCAGGGCCAAGAGGCATCGGGCGCAGGGGAGCGCGGGGCACGGCCCCCGCACCAGAACGTGCCGGACCCTCAGTGGCTGCAAGGGAGAGGAGCGGGGCAAAACCCTGCTCAGACCGTCCCCCTGCCTTCCACCGCCGCTCGCCGCTCCTGCGGGACCCAGGAGACTGGGCACAACGGACCTAGCGTCTGACCCAGTAAATGGCAGCTCTTACGTCCCCTCGTCCCGCTCACAGCAAGGGCCCAGGCCGGAGCCCAGGACCCCCCTGCACCCGGGCGGCCACCACCTTAGTCAGCCCCGCAGCTTCTGGCTGCTTTTGTCCTCCCAGCCTCACAAGACGACAGTGGGGGCCGTCTTCAGAAGGAAGCTGGGGGCCCGGGACTGCGGTGTGGCGATTAACGGGGTGCTGGGTAATGTGGCTCAAGCCCCCCTGGGGAAGGTGGGACCCAGGCAGGGTGCCCCCCTTCCACAGCAAGGGCCCGACCACGCGGCTCCTGAGAGTAGCACATGGGCCCGTGGCCCAATGCCTCTGGGCGGCGGTTTCTGGCATGTTACGTCTGCCAGGCTTACACACATGTCCGGGTGCCCCCGCCTTGATGTTCAACAAGGACACGTGCGAAGTCCTGCACTGGGGAGGGAGCAACCCCCTGCACCGGGGCAGGCTGGGCGACGGGCTGGGCAGCAGCTCTGCAGAGAAGGACCTGGGGGGACAGGGGACAAGGAGCTGGACAGGAGCCGGCAGCGTGCCCTGGGTGCCAGGAGGGCGACCGGCATCCTGGGCTGCATCGGTAGGAGCAGTGCCCGCAGATGGAGGGCAGCGATTCTTCCCCTGTGTTCAGCCCTGGGGAATCTCTCCAGTTTGGGGCCCAGTTTTGGGCCTCCCACTACAGAAAGGATGTGCACAAATTGGAGAGAGTCCAGTGGAGGACAATGAACGTGGCTGGGGTGGTGAGACACGTGGCTGGTGAGGAGAGGCTGAGGGAACGGGGCTTGTTTAGCCTGCAGAAGAGAAGAGTGAGGGGGTTTGATAGCAGCCTTCACCTCCCTGCAGGGGGGTGCAAAGACGATGTTCTCCGTGGGGGCAGAACAAGGAGCAATGGGCTCAGGCTGCAGCAAGGGAAGTTGAGGTTAGACAGCAGGAAAAGCTGTCTCATGAGGAGGGCGGTGAAGCGCTGGGACAGGCACCCCAGAGAGGATGTGGAGTCTCCATCTGTCTCTTACGTTTTGGAGGTGTTTAAGCCCCATCTAGACAAAGTGCTGGCTGGGATTAATAGATTAGATGACTAGATTGTGAGGCTGGCAGGGACCTCGAGAGATCATCGGGTCCAGCCCCCTGCACCAAGCAGAAAAGACATCTGGGCTCAGGTGACCCCAGCGAGCTGACCGTCCAGTCTCCTCTCGAAGATTTCCACGGTAGGTGACGACACCACCTCTGGAGGGAGCTTATTCCACAGCCAGGACACCCTAATTTTCCTAATGTGAAGCCTGAAACGGTCTTCCAGGAGTTTGTGACCACTGCTCCTGGCTTTCCCCGCTCACCCTTCTCTTCTTCAGGCTGAAGAGTCCCAGGACGGAGTTGGGGCCGGCCCTGCTTGGAGCAGGGGTTGGACTAGACGTGACCTCCTGACATCCTTTCCAGCCCTCGTTGCCCGTGACGCTACGCATGTCCACAGGGTGCACACACATAGTCCTATACCCACCTGTCCTGCACGTAGCGTGTGCTCAGCTCACGTGTGCGCACCGACGCGGCCGTGCCACAGGGAAGCGGAATCGGGACCCGCAGAGGAGGGCCAAGAGGGCCGCTCCCACGTCTTGGGAGCCACGTTCAGGCTCCCAAAGGGAGGTCGACTTCCACCCCCGGGTTGCGGGGCCAGGACACACCAGGCACTTTCCCCAAGCTGGCCCACACCCAGATACCCTGGTGGGGAGGGGCACATAGGGGCAGTCCCTGCAAGAGAGCCAGGGGGGGCGCGTCCTACATCACTTCTGACTTCTGCCCAGGCCCGAGGCATGGAGGGCTCTCACCATCAGCAGTGAGTTTCTCTGCCATCAGTCCCCTCCTCCCGAACCTGGTGTGAAAGTGGCGGCTGGTAACGGCCCCTCTTTCTCCTTCGTCCCCAGCCTGCATGAACGAGGAGAGCGCTCGGCGAGAGCAGGAGGAGCTGAGGAAATCCAACCAGAAGCCACGGTCGGCTCACGGCTGGGACCTGATCGTGCTGCTGTGGTACCTGATCTTCTACCGGCCCGTGATCACCGAGTACAACCTGCGGCGCAAGAACCTGCGCTCCATCTTCATACGCTTCAGCGCCTGGCAGTACGCCGGCAGCGACAAGCTGTGGGCAGGGCTGATCACCACCCTCTGTGGCAGCATCCGCAGCCACTTTGGCGCCCTGCCCTTGAGCTTCTACCAGGTGGTGGGGAGCAGGCCCCAGTTTGCCTCGGGCTTCAGCCAGAAGGAGTGGCACCTGAAGGGCCAGACGTGCATGAAGCTGTGGGGCTTGCTCTTCTTCCTGGTGTCGGGGATCAGCCTGTTCTCTGTGGCCGCCTTTGTCCCAGGGGTACGGGAAAGCAAGGTGCTGAAGGTGGCTGGCGGCTCCTTCGCCACGCTCTCCGGGTCCGGAGCCGTGCTGACCGCCTTCAACGTCATTAAAAACATAGTGGTCACCCAGAAGCACAGGATTGAGAAGCTGACGGACAGCAACAAGTTCAGCAGCCACCTGGGCTTCATGAGCAAGGTGAAGAGGGAAATCGAGTCGCTCACCGGCTTCATGAACTTCATGGAGATCTACGAGAGGCGGAGGCTGCGGATCGTGATGGAGATCACCTGCTTGGACACGTGCTGCCCGGAGAGGATCACCGGGGTCCTGAACGCCATGAACACCCTGCTCTCGGACACCAACGCGCCCTTCATCTTCATCCTGGTGGTGGACCCCAGCGTGATCGTGCCGTGCTTGGAGCAGACGTCCTGCATGAAGGGCATCGCGGACAACGGGTACCTCTTCCTGAACCGCACGGTGACCTTGCCATTCTCCATCCCGGTCATGGGCATCAAGTCCAAGCTGCAGTGCCTCCACAACGTCGTGCAGACGCGGGAAGACCTGATGTACCAAATCATCACGCGCAACGTGGAAAGGGAAGTCAAGAAGGTGAGGTGGAGGGTGGAGCTGGCGGAGAGCGCCGAGCCCGCTGGCGAAATGGACCAGAGCCAGCTCGACGCGCAGGCGGTGAGGTACATCCACGAAGCCTTCCACTGCGTGCACGACGACTCGGACTGCCTCCATCGCTACGTGCCCGACAGCATCACCCAGATGCGGCGGATCGTCAACACCGTTCCCATCACGCTGCGGCTCATGATGCACCGCAGCATCACCCGGCACACCATCGCGCCCAGGTCCGTCGCCGCCTGGGTGGTGCTGGCCAACCAGTGGCCGTGCCGCTTGAGCTGGGTGTTGCAGTGCATCGAGGACAAGGAGCAGCTCCAGCCCACAGAGGACTTCAGGCGCCAGTCCCTGTGGAGCGTCTTCACAGAGCACTGCGCCGAGCTGTACGCCATGCACAAGGACATCAAGAACATCCTGGACCTGGACGCCGACCCCGAGCTTTTCCAGAAGTTCCTCTCCAGCGATTTCCCTTTCACCGTGCAGGAGGCCGACACCTTCCTGAGGAACACTGTCAACCTGGACCACTCCATCAAGCACAAGCTGGCGCTCATCCGCGCGCTGAACACCCTGAACGTGGCCGTCAAGGAGCCAGGCTTAGCTCGAGCCAGCTCCGTGTCCAGGGGCGTGCAGTGCTCTGCCGCCCACCTGCAGCAGGCGCGGGAGTCCACGCAGTCCCTGGACGCGACCCAGCAGCCTTAGGGCCTGGGCAGAACTCGCCTGTCCCGGGGACGCCCCCGGCTGCTGCCGGCTGCCCGCGCCTCCGCGGCGCCCAGCGCCCCGGCC